GAGCTATTAGCAGAGCAGGTTTTCAGGAAACCTTTTCCCCAAAGCCCAGAGACATGGAGCCTAAGGAGACACTAGAAGACAAAGGTCTATTGAAAAGAAGGTGGGTTCCCAGGGCAGTTAGAAGAGTGTGGGTAAGAGACAAGGGCCTCCTCACAGAGAGCACTCTGGCCCTGAGGTGAGTGCCTGTGGGGGCTGCCCCTGAGTGTCATTGCCAAGGTCATCGTTGTCAGCCTGGCCAGCAAAGCTGGGTGACCCTGTGCAAGTTGCTTTTTATCTCTGAGCCATATGTGTCTCAAAGAAGTCAAAGTCCTGGGTTGTTTTTTTAAGATTTCATTTATTTCTGAGAGGGATGCGGGAGCATGAGTAGGGAGATGGACAGAGGGAAAGGGAGACACAGGCTCCCTTTGGGGCTCGATCCCAGGACTCTGGGATCATGACCTGAGCCAAAGGCAGACACTTAAACAACTGAGCCATCCAGGCACCCCAAAGTCCTGGGTTTGCTGCCAGCATATGTTATCTCCCTACCCCAGACGTGCCCAGGCTGGGTCTCTCTAGCCCTTTACTGCTTCGCTCAGGGCCAGCGGGTCCCTAATCGGGGACTGTGGGCCTTGGGGTCACAAGCACCCCTGTCAGAACCTTAACAATCACTCCCTTTCTCCTCTGGGTCTCAGTGGGCGAACCAGGGCATGCCAGGCTCCAGGAGGATCCCTGGGCCTTTCAGAGGGCAGAGAAGGCAGGGTGCGGGCAAACCCCCCCACGCCCACCCAGGGTGAGGTGTTTTCACTAGAATCAGAGCAGCTGCGGCCTCTTCCCAGGAAGAAAGAGCAGAGCGCCTCTTCCAAGAACTCAGAAGAGGCCCACAGGCAGGGGAGGGAGGAGCGGGGGAGTTAATTTTAAACCAAACAGCCTTCAACGCTTCTCAGGAACTGGTTGCTCAACGTGATCTGGCAGGTCCCAGGCGGGCCGGTAGGCTCACAGCCAGCTCCCAGGTGGTGGGGGTGGGGGACCCGCCCCAGAGCAGAGGCCCGGTGACCTTGAGGGAAGTTGGGCCCTGTCCTTGCCCATGAATCTGAGCCTGTCACCCCCAGACCTCCATCTCCTTGACCTGACTTGCCGAGGTACGGGCTGAGGTGGCTTCCTCTGTCCCAACCAGGCTAGGTGAAATTATAACAGGATAAATAACAGAGATGTCACCTCCTTCCAGGAGCCCCACACCTGACTGTCCCAGTCCCCTCTCCTTGCTCAGAACCCGCCACTCCCATCCCCCAACCTGGCCCTCTGGAAGTTACTGACGAAAGCCTGCTCTGAGGCCAGAGTAAGGCCTGTGTGTTTCGCCAAGCGGATGGCACCCCGGGGTGCCGAGCTTATGGGGGACAGAGGGAGATGGAAGGAGGGATTGAGCAGCCAGCCAAATTTCCGGGCCCAAGGAACGAGCCTCCTGGCTGTGCAGGGAGGCTCTGAGCTGAACGCACTGGACTTGCCCCCCTCACT